GTAGGTTATGTGGATGGCTTTAGGTTCATTATGACATGTCCAGTTTAGGTTTGCTCTCCTATTTCTGTGTATCAAGTATTGTTATTTAGTTGCTGTGGCTTTACTTGGAGGAGAATTAGTATTAATACCCTGTTCCCAGCTATTTTTTTTCTGTCTATTAAGGTCCTTATTTTCTCATCACTCTTTGTTTTCATCACTGTAAAGTTTGCAAAATTCTCTTGAGAGTCATTGCCTCTGCAACACTAGTGCTCTATATCTTCATTCTTTTTGTCACTCCCTTCTAGTCTGTTCTGATCTATCGATTTGTTAGCTTTTAGTAGTATATCCCTTTATGGGATATATATATATATATATGTCCCCTTATGAGATATACTACTTATATACTCCTTTCTTTTTTTTTTTTTTTTTTTTTTTTTTTTTTAGTGGTTTCCAATAAATTTATTTAATCACAACTTCAGAGGGTTCTAGAAACTTGCATTTTTAACAAGCACCGCAGATGATTCCAGGTTTTGATTAGAAGTGTGGTTTGGGTAAGCAACTTTACCCTTAATTGTGTGTCAGATTACACATAGAGTAAAACAAAAAGTCATGTAACGGAACAAAAAATAGCTTTATACAAAATATTAGTAGATAAATACAATATGGTCTTAAAAATAAAATCATATGTATATAGTTGTATTCCTAAGTACAGCAGTGCCTCACTCATTCCAAGTTTCCTTTCTGTGGTTTCAGTTATCTGTAGTCAACGACATCCAAAAACAGGTGAGTACTGTACACTGTATAAGAAGATATTTTGAGAGCAAGAAAGACCAACCACATTCATATAACTTTATTGCAGTATGTTATCGTTGTTCTATTTTATTAATCTCTTGCTATGCTTAATTTATACATTACACTTTATCATCGGTATGTATATATAGAAAAAAGGTGTATAAAGGTTTGGTACTATCTGAGGTTTCAGGAGTCCACTGGGGGCCTTGGGATGCATCCCCTGAAGATAAGGGGAAACTACTGTATGCAAAATCGAAATCTATACAACAATTAGAAACATTGAGAGAGCAAATTAAGTATAAGTGAAGACATTCCTCTGAATTCCCAGGTTTCATCGAGCATCAAAAACGACCAATCTTTTAGTCCTTTTCTTGTACATTATTCTGTATCCACATTCTCTGCATCTGATTGGATCCCTAGATTTTATTTCATTTTCTGTGTGACATTCTCCACAGATATATATCATTGGTTGCTGCTTTGGAGGTTGAACGTCCTTCTGAGTGTCCATTGTTAGCCCGCAACACAGGAAAACTTCTCCGCGTTTCCAAATCACTCCTTTCTTTATGGAAAAGTCTTTTTTATTCCTGAGGCAATTTTAGTTTTAAATAAACACATTTAACTTGCACAGCAAATGTGGCTTTATCAATTCATTCTAGTACATTTCAAATGTGTTGTTGAGATTTCAATCGGGATGTTTGTCTCCTTCCTTCTGAATTGGCGTTTTATTTCAACAATATTTTGACTGCACACATTTTATTCAGCATACATTCACTGTGTGTCTTCAAGTCTGGGCACCATTTTAAGTCCCGAAGATATCAAAGAATAAGATAGACAAAATCTGTGTACTTTCATGTGTCTTTACTTTTCTTTCCTTTTTTTTTTTTTCACAGTTGGACATTTTATTTTACTTGTTTCTACCATTAAAAAATATTTCAATAGCTTTATGGGTACCAGTGGTTTTTGTTTACATGAATGAATTGTATGGTGGTAAATCTGAGATTTTGGTGCACCTGTCACCAGGGTAGTATACATCGTACCCCATATGTAGTTCTTTCATCCCTCTCCTTCCCTCTACCCTCCCGGCTTCTGAGTCACCAATGTCCATTGTGCCATTCTGTATGTCTTTTCATGCCCATAGTTTAGCTCTCACTTACAAGTGAGAACAGACGTATTTAGTGTTCCATTCCTGAGTTACTTCACTTAGAATAATAGCCTCTGGCTTCATTTAATTTGGTACAAAAGACATTATTTTGTTGTTTTTTTTTTATGGCTGAGTAGTATTCCATGGTGTATATATGTCACATTTTCTTTATTCACTCATCGGTTGATAGGTACTTGCCTGGTCATATCTTTGCAATTGTGAATTGTGCTGTAATAAACATATTTGTGAAGCTGTCTTTTCTTTGTCATTTTCTTTCTTTCTTTTTTATTATACTTTAAGTTCTGGGATACATGTGCAGATCTTGCAGGATTGTTACATAGGTGTACACATGACATGCTGGTTTGCTGCCTCCATCCCTCCATCACTACATTAGGTATTTCTCCTAATGTTATCCCTCCCTAATCTCCCCCACTGCTATTGTTCCTCTAGCTCCCCCACCCCCCAACAAACCCCAGTGTGTGATATTCCCCTCCCTGCGTCCATGTGTTCTCATTGTTCAACACTTACCTATGAGTGAGAACGTGCAGTGTTTGGTTTTCTGTTCTTGTGTCAGTTTGCTGAGAATGATGGTTTCCAGATTCATCCATGTCCCTGCAAAGGACATGAACTCATCCTTTTTTACAGCTACATAGTATTCCATGGTGTATATGCACCACATGTTCTTTATCCAGTTTATCCTTGATGGGCATTTGGCTTGGTTGCAAGTCTTTGTTATTGTAAACAGTGCCTCAATAAACATACATGTGCATGTGTCTTTATAATAGAACGATTTATAATCCTTTGGGTATATACCCAGTAATGGGATTGCTGGGTCAAATGGTGTTTCTATTTCTAGATCCTTGAGGAATCACCACACTGTCTCCCACAATGGTTGCACTAGTGGTTTTGTGTGTGATTTTGTTTTTAGAATATAATTATGCACACTATTATTTTTATGACTTAATTTTAAATAACTTATTGCAATCTTTATTCTAATTAGTGTGTTTGTATTCTGAGCTTTATCAACCAAGAACAATTCTGTGTTAATCAATGGAATTGAATTTTAACTAAAAGATTAATTGAATATAAGTAATATTGGTAATAATATATAAGGTCCAAAGAATGCTATCAAAACTTGCATGTACCCAACACTGACTTATCAAATATACAATGTCCATGTCCTTTACTTGTATAATCAGGCTGGTTTTAAACACTGAACATATGAGAATCTACTCTACCTCCTTGACAAGTTAATTTACTTAATTGTCTTTCTGTTTTCCTACCTGTAGAGTTCAAACCTTGCTTCCCAAAGTATATGATTCCTCAAAAGTAAGCCTGAGGGCTGTCTGAATTAAAAACACAGGGAGAGGCCAGATGCGTTGGCTCATGCCTATAATTCCAGCACTTTGTAGCGAGCAGAGATCGTGTCGTTGCACTCCAGCCTGGGTGACAGAATGACACTCCGTTTCAAAAAGAAAAAAGGAAAGGAAGGGAAGGGAAGAAGGGAAGGGAAGGGGAGAGGACGAGGGGGAGGGGAGGGGAGGGGAGGGAAGGGGAGGAAAAACACCAGGAGAACATTTACTAGTTTAATTTTCTGGGGTACACACTTAGATAATTAATTTTCATTAGCTTTGCTATTGGTCTGATAACTACTAGTCAAAACTTCCTGAAAAATAACTGTTCTAGACAGTATGCAAGGTCTCTAAGATTTCTTAAATTTCAGTTACGCTTGATATACATTTCTACTCCTACCACCTTCCCAGTGAACAATGTTTTCATGGCAGCTTTCGGATACTTTCCACTCTATGTCATGTAAGAGTTAGTACAAGGACTTCATAAACTTGGAAGATGATTTGGAGGAGATCTGATGTAAAAATAACATCTGAATACAAAATAGTAAACTCAAATACTACCATGTTCCCGTCGAGAGTTCATGTTACGGTTACTTCAAATAAATGATTAATAATGATGGAAATGGTCCTGTTCTGTTTATATGTTATTATTTTTGGTTGTTAACTGCTTTTTTTTGGCCTATAGTTATGGTCATTTGAAAGCCTTTTGGAGGCATCTGCTTAATGCTAATTATTTTTTCTTTTTAAAATTATTTTTAAAGTTTTATTTTTAATTGACAGATGATTGTATATGTTTATGAGGGTACAGTGTTATATTTTGTTATATGTTTACACTGTGGAATGATTACACCAAGTTAATTCACAAATCCACTACATGACATACTTATTTTTTTGTGTGGTGTAAACATTTAAAATATACTCTCTGATACTTAATTTAACATATACACATTTTCTAAAAAAAAAATTGGGTTGCAGGCTGTAAATTTCTCTCTAAACACTCCTTTGGCTGTGTCCCAGAGATGCTGGTACATTGTGTCTTTGTTCTCATTTGTTTCAAAGAAGTTTTTTATTTCATTATTTACCTAATTTCATTATTTACCCAGTAGTCATTCAGTAGCAGGTTGTTCAGTTTCCATATAGTTGTGCGGTTTTGAGTGAGTTTCTTAATCCTGAGTTCTAATTTGATTGCATTGTGGTCTGGGAAACTGTTATGATTTCCCTTCTTTTGCATTTGCTGAGAAGTGTTTCACTTGCAATTATGTGGTGAATTTTAGAATAAGTGTGACTCTGAGAAGAGTGTATATTGTACTGATTTGGGTTGGAGAGTTCTGTAGATGTCTATTAAGTTCATTTGGTTAAGAACTGAGTTCAAGTCCTGAATATCCTTCTTAATTTTCTGTCTTGTTGATCTAATACTGACAGTATGGGGTGTTAAACTCTTCCACTATTATTATGTGGGGGGTCTAAGTCTCTTTGTAGGTATCTAAGGACTCGCTTTATGAATCTGTTGCTCCTGCACTGGGTGCATATATATTTAGGATAGTTAGCTCTTCTTGTTGCACTGATCACTTTACCATTATGTAATGCCCTTCTTTGTCTTTTTTGATCTTTGCTGATTTAAAGCCTGTTTTATCAGAGACTAGGGTTGCAACTCCTGCTTTTTATTTTTTCTTTCCATTTGCTTGGTAAGTATTTCTCCCTCCCTTTATTTTGAGACTACTTGTGTCTTTGCATGTGAGATGTGTCTCCTGAATACAGCACACCAATGGATCTTGACTCTATCCAGTTTGCTGGTCTGTGCCTTTTAATAGGGGCATTTAGCCTATTTACATTTAAGGTTAATATTTTTATGTGGGAGCTGAATCTTGTCATTATGATGCTAGCTAGTTATCTTGACGATTAGTTGATGCAATTTCTTCCTAGCATCAATGGTCTTTACAATTTGGTATGTTTTTGCAGTGGCTGGTACCAGTTTTCCTTTCCATGTTTAGTGCTTCCTGCAGGAGCTCTTGTAAAGCAGGACTGGTGGTGACAAAATCTCTCAGCATTTGCTTATCTGTAAAGGATTTCATTTCTCCTGTGCTTATGAAGCTTAGTTTGGCTGGATATGAAATTCTGGATTGAAAATTCTTTCCTTTAAGAATGTTGAATATTGGGTCCCACTCTCTTCTGGCTTGTAGGATTTCTGCTGAGAGATTCGCTGTGAGTCTTATGGGCTTCCCTTTGTGGGTGACCCAGTCTTTTTTTTCTGGCTGCCCTTCATTTCAATGTTGGAGAATTTGATGATTATGTGTCTTAGGGTTGCTCTTCCTGAGGAGTGTCTTGGTGATGTTCTCTCATTTCCTGAATTTGAATGCTGGCCTATCTTGCTAGATTAGGGAGGTTCTCCTGGATAATATCCTGAAGTTTGTTTTCCATCTTGGCTCCATTCTCCCCATCACTTTCAGGTACACCAACCAAACGTAGGTTTACTCTTTTCTTTTTTTTTTTTTTTTTTTTTTTGAGACGGAGTTTCACTCATGTTACCCAGGCTGGAGTGCAATGGCGCGATCTCGGCTCACCGCAACCTCCACCTCCTGGGTTCAGGCAATTCTCCTGTCTCAGCCTCCTGAGTAGCTGGGATTACAGGCACGCACCACCATGCCCAGCTAATTTTTTGTATTTTTAGTAGAGACGGGGTTTCACCATGTTGACCAGGATGGTCTCGATCTCTTGACCTCGTGATCCACCCGCCTCGGCCTCCCAAAGTGCTGGGATTACAGGCGTGAGCCACCGTGCCCGGCCAGGTTTACTCTTTTCACACAGTCCCATATTTCTTGGGGGCTTTGTTTGTTTCTTTTCATGTTTTATATCATTAAGTCGATCTTCTTTCACTGATATCCTTTCTTCTTGATCAGTTTGGCTATTGATACATGTGTATGCTTCACGAAGTTCTCGTGCTGTCTTTTCCAGCAACATCAGGTAATTTATGCTCTTCTCTAAACTGGTTATTCTAGTTAGCAATTCCTCTACCCTTTTTTCAAGGTTCCTAGCTTTCTTGCATTGGGATAGAACACGC